TGATGCTGTAACAGTGTGCTGTATCTTACTGTGACGCTGTAACAAGGTGCTGTACCTCGCTGTGACGCTCAGCTGTTCACGTGGACAACAGCCAACCTCACCTTCAGGTACCGACCGAGGTGAAGGACCGCCCTTATCATCTCTCTCTCTCTCTCTCTCTCTCTCTCTCTCATACCTACACACCTTCACTCCCTCACCTACACACCTTCACGCCCATACCCTACACACCTTCACGCCCATACCTACACACCTTCACGCCCATACCTACATCACGCCCACGGAGAGAGAAAGAGTGGGTGTGAGGTGTAACATATAAACAATGTGATGCTTGGGAAAGGTGGAATGTCTGTGTAAACATACCTGCCTGCCTGAACACACACACACACACTCCCGTAGATCACATTAAGCAGTCCCTAAATTGCGTTCTCGTCAACACAAAACGTAAATAATGTTGTAATTACCCGTGTCACAACGTGGAGACATAACGTCTTCCATGTAATTATGAGTAACACCCGGTGAGTCTCTTCTTACACCCTTGTATGTGTGTGTGTGTGTGTGTGTGTGTGTGTGTGTGTGTGTTTAGTGGACTCGGCAAGCAAAGGTTACGTACACACCTTTTTGGAAGTGTGTGTACCTGAACGTTAGCACGAATCTCATTGTTTGTTTAGGTGTATCCATTTGTGTGTGTGTGTGTGTGTGTGTGTGTGTGTGTGTGTGTGTGTGTGTGTGTGTGTGTGGGCTATCAAAGAATCAACAGCTATGTACGTCACTCACACAGAGCTTCAGTGCCGTGTTAGCATGGTGAGCGTGCTACAGTAAACAAACATGACCAATATGACTTACCAATACAAGGTCACGTGTTTACATCTGTTATCTGAGTAAGAGATACCCCCCTCCTGCTGCCCCGCCGCCATGTCATGTCTTAATGTTTATTGAATGTTTTCTGATCAGGTCAAGAAAATTATCCACCCCAGCTTATTTCACCTTAAGATTTAATGCCCTAAGACTCTCCTAATCCATCTTACCTTGATCTCGCCTAACCTAACTTTCCAATGAAGGTGTGACCAAGTTCTCCACATCTTTACTTTTACTGTTATCCTCTTCGCCATTTACCTTAGTCCTGTTGTGTTGTTGTGGCGGCTGACGTGTGGTTCCCTAGTACCTGGTCATAACTCTAGGAAGGTTGGTGATGAACAGGATGAAAACTATCGCTTCGTGAACCAGGTCTTGAGGGGCTCCAGTATTGTTGACCTTTATCAGAATGTTTGCCTCTTGACACTGAGACTCTGACTGTGTAGGTGCATCAGGCGGCAATGTGACCAGCTGCAGTAGAAGCTTTTGTCGAGTTAATATAGATGACGACTTCCATATATACTCACTCCAGCAGTCGATGGTGACCGTCAGTAGATCTGTGTAACAACAAGACCTGCAGCCTCGACAGAACCTAGGCTCATGGGTGTAACCGAGAACTTCTTATCTATTAAAAAGTCAGATTTCTTTTTCTTCCTTTTTTCCTGTGAGGTCTCTTCAAGGACGCTGTTGCCC